AAAATAGTAAGGAATTTAAGCCCTAGAACGATTAATGTATTGGCGGACTGATACTAAAGCTGGTTGCCCTGTCAGTGCAAGCGAAAACATGTTGAGGTCGGTTCATAAGAAATTCGTTAACCGAATTTTTGTTCGTTAACCGAATTTTTGTTCGTTAACCGAATTGAAGATCCTTATGGAAGGCAGTTCGTTAACTGAGGCGTTCGTTAAACGAGGGGTCACTGTAATTGGTTCCAGCTCACCGAAAATTGCCTAAATTCAACAAAAAAGGTAGAAAAGTACACTTACTTTGAGGTGTGTATGTAGAAGGCTCCTGGATGATGATGGGAATTAGAATGGGGGTGGAGAAGGGAGAAGAGAAGGCATTGGGGTGGAAGAGAAGTCACCCCATGGCGCCATTTCACCCATAAAATTTTAGTTCTCTTGGTGCAATTCAAGATTATTTTCTTTAAATCAACACTGCACTGCATTATATATTGTCAATATGTAAAATAAATTTCAAAATGACCAATAATTTGCTTGCAAAAACAGAAAAAAAGCATTTAGTTGAAGAGAGTCTCAAGCAAGAGGTTACCTCCACTGAAAAGATACAAAGACTGACGCCTGTATGGTGTGTTGAGAGGCTGGATGGCACGCATAAAACTAGTTTCATTACCTTCAATTATGTTCAATAATTGTTAAAATGAGTAAAAATTTAATATTAAACTTTTAAAATTATTGAATAGTATAAACTTCTTGATATTTGCTAAAATGGTAAGGAATTTAAGCCCTAGAACCGATTACTGTATTGGCGGACTAATACTACAGCTAGTGGACCGCCAAATGCAAGCGAAATCATGTTCAGGTTGGCTCGTAAGAAACTCGTTAATCGAGGGATTGCTCGTTAACCGAAGTTAAGAATCTTATGGAAGGTAACTCGTTAACCGAAATCTCGTTAACCGAGGCACTCGTTAACCGAGGCACCACTGTATATAGTAGAACAGTTCTAAGTAGTGATGAGAAATGGCAAGTTTTTGTTTTATTCGGTAATAAGTTCAGACAAAAAAAGACGATTTTATTGGTACTGTACAGTAGCTACTTCACAAATTACTGTACAGTATCATAAGACTTCAGGCAATGTTTGAAGTGTTTTTAAGCTGCAGTTAAGTTTGAAGGCTAATAGCATTTGTTAAGTCTGCTATTGGTGCATGAACTAATGGCCTATCCATCCCATCAACAGAAATTCAGCAAACATCATACTTTTCCATGAAGAGAAATATTTTTAGGTGTGTGAAGTAACCCCAGACATGGGGTGACTTTGGGCGGGTCTGGGGTAACTTCGGACAATTGTGTTAGAGCCTGGCCAGAAACATTGAGGATGGCTTCGGACATCGATGAACTCAGAAGAAATTGGGCAAAAATCTTCAGCAACACAATTACATACACTGTATACAGTAATGGTATCCTTGTTAACCGGAACACTTGGTGCAGAGCACTTCTGAGGAGGAAAGATTTCTGGCTAACCAGATGACTTTTTCAAAGCCGGAAAAATTCCTTATCCCCGGAATCTTTTCCGGTTACTGGGGAAAGTTTCCGAGTGTCTAAACTATACATCTTGCACAGACAGACACTAGCCCACTTCCCCAGAACGTTTCTTGGTGCTGGGATGTTTTCCTCGAGTCTAAACTACCAGAGTCCGTAAGTGTAGTTCTAATTAAGTGAGAAACTCCATTTCCTTACTATAATAATCCAGAATAGTTATCTAAAAGTTTGGTTAAATAAATATATTTAAAACTTAAAAATCTACTGTATATGATATGGGCATGAATGAAGCTGTGTGTTACAGCAAAGACTGGTATTTTGCACTCCCTTGGAGCTGTGGGGGATAAGTGGTTTTCATGTAACTGGCCTGACCCAATGTCAGGTGGAGGTAGGGTGGGGGATTAGTGGTCTCATATTACTGATCTTCTGATGGAATGTCAGATCACCCTTTCTTGGGTGGAGGATTAGTGGGTCTCATGACCTGAAGATGTCTTGAATAAACACTAAACCTAAAGCATTTTTAGGAAAATTGTGATAAGTATAAATATAAATGAGCAAAGTTGTATCCCATGACCATTACGTTACATAACATTTTATAATATGGATTGAGAAAGCAGAAAGGTGTGGGAGATTAGAAAGGTGGAGTGGAAGTGAGTGTTGCCAAGCGCTCCTCAACAGCTGATATTTAACTCACTACGACACAGTCACACACGCAAATTTGTCATACAATAAGACCCTCACTCGTGTGTGTGTGTTTTAATAAACGGTTTATTAGTAGAGTTGCAGCCGGTGGCTGAAAATACTGTGTACAGACTTGCATTTGATTTAGACATAATGATATAATATGCATTGAATACATTTACAGGGCTGTACAGTACATAAATCAGGAGTTGTTTATTATTTTATCAATAGATGGTGGGTGTGTGTGCATGCCTGCGTGTGTGTGTGCGTGCGTGCTTAGAGTGGGAGATGAGGGGGGAGGGTTGTGTGGTCAGTTTTCTTCCTGCCCCCCACCCCCTCACTCAAGTGTGGCTAATTGTGATACTTCTTCTACAGTTTTAAACTCTTCTTCCTCTGCATTTTTCTGTGCTTCCAGTTCAATAAGATCCTCATTACTTAGCTCTTCTGCTACACTTTCAACCAACTGCTCAACATCTTCGTTATCAATTTTAAACTCCAGCTGTTGACCCAACTCCACTATCTTATTACTAATCTCAGAAATTACTTCATCTTCATTAAATCCTCTGAAACTGTTCACTTATCTTTTCAGGACTTTCTCCCATATTCCATTCATGCACTATCCTGTAACCTCATCCCATGCTGCAGCCATGTTCTTAATACATTGCAAAATGTTGTTGTCCTTCCAAAACTCTCTGAGCATTTTCTCACCTTCAGTAGCAGCAACAGCCTGAGCAAAGGTCGTACCTAAATAATTCGCTTTAAAAGCAGCAATATGACCTTGATCCATGTGTTGGATGATAGAGGTAGTGTTAGGTGGAATGTAGACTACCTTAACATCAGGGTGCAGGTCATCCAGGTGTGGTGGGTGTCCCAAAGCATTATCCAAAATTAACAAAATCTTGAATGCAATCCCTTGTTGCAGACAATACTCCTTGGCTCGTGGAATGAAAAAAGTCAGGAACCAATCCTCAAACAGTACTAGGGCAGTGTGTGCTTGTTGACATGTTTAAAAGCCCTAGGGTTCTCTGAATGACATATCATTAAGGGCTTTATCTTGAAACCAGTTACATTCCCCCTAACAGAAGTGTGATTCTTGAATGCCTTGAATCACAGCATTGTTTTTGCCTCTTTGTGGATGTACGGTATGTCCGTTCTGGCATGCGTTTCCATAATAAGCCAGTTTCATCCACATTAAATATTTGCTCAGGCAAATAATTTCCCTCCACGATGACACGATCTATCTCCTCCTTAAAAGCTTCGGCAGCACCCACATCAGCTCTTGCTGCCTCTCCACTCACCTTTACACTATGCAAACTGTAGCGGTTCTTAATCCTTTGAAACCACCCATGACTACCTGTGAAGGTTTGGTCGCACTCATCTCCTTCCTGCTCCTTCAGGCTTTTGAAAAGGCTTCTTGCCTTAGCCTGGAGGGTTAGAAGGCTTAAGGGTTCACGCTTTTGTATCTGATCTTCCACCCATATCACAAGTAATTTTTCCGTCTCATGAATAGGACTTTGTCTTTTTATCGTTATTATTGTTCGCTTTTTTGTGCTGATCCTTACACTACCTCACGAATACATTCCTTGTCCTTCAGAATTGTCGATATGGTTGAGTGCAAGAAGCCTAGGTCGTGTGAAATGGTTGCTACCGTTTTTCCATTTTCATACTGCATTATTATCTTCATTTTCGTCTCCGAATACATCCTTTCCTCACACAGGCAAACTGTGGAATGCTCTTCCTTCTTCTGTGCTTCCATACTCATATAATGTCTCACTTCAAAAAGCAGGTTTTCTGACATCTTTGGGGTGTAGATTAATGCCCTGTATACAGTAATACCCCGATTTACGCGGTCAATTGAGCCCGCGGAGTAGCGCGTAAAACGAGAAACGTGTAAATGGCATAACAGAACATATGGGATTAATTGAAATAGAGACTGGGCCGACCCCCAAACTCCACTTTTTCAGACACAATACCTACGTTGTAGTAAAAATAACATCTTAATTTTATGATGGTATGCACACACAATTAATAATTAAGAGAAATATAAATAATATTAGGTTTTTTAACACTTACATTAGTAGAAAAGATGGCTGGGCACACGGGGATGGGGGGTTGGTTCCGAGGCAGAGGGCAGATTATTGGCCCTCACCTACATTAGTAGAAAAGATGGCTGGGCACACGGGGATGGGGGGTTGGTTCCTAGGCAGAGGGCAGATTATTGGCCCTCACTTGTATCACTTGTATCAATTGTATCACTATCCACCACAGAGGCTTGCAGGGCCTCTTTGTCAAGCCCCTCAAAGTCCATATACAGTAAGTCCATATCCTCACTACCACTGACTTGGGCCGGCTGTGGTGGTTGGCGAGTGAAGAACTCGGTAATGTTTTGATGACTGGACGACCTTGTGCGCACCCTGCCCGCACCGCTTCCCGCGTATATGAGTAGATGCACCGCGTAAAGTGGGCATTCCGGTTCTGGCGGGGTACCGCGTAAATGTGGAAACGCGTAAACGAGAACCGCATAAACCGAGGTATTACTGTCGTCTTTTTCTCTTCTATTTTTAATATCTTTTTGCTCTTTATTCTCCCCCCGGGCTCAGTTGTGGGTTGATGACCTGTGCCTGGGTGGGCTATTCCCCGTAAAAAAGGGAAAAAGATTCCTGTGTTCATGGGTGTTCTGATTTACCCTGCATAATGCAAGACATCACTATTACTAAAGGAAATAAGATGTATAATCTTTTATTATCTTTGTAGCTTTTCATACAATATATACAGCAGCTATTTTTTTCTTTCAACAGGGAGAGAGGATCCCAGGTGGCAGAGCCTGGGGTTGGATCTCCTCAAGGTTACGATGAAGAGATAGAAGCCAAGTGGCGTTTTCACAATTACTACCAGTGGGTTGTCTTTTTCCTATTCTTCCAGGTAGGTGTTTACTATTTTCCTCTTGACAAATTCTGTTGTAGACAGGACTATACTGGTACAGTCCTCATATTTACTCATAAATATTATGTATGTAAGTGATATCTCCATTAGCCAGAACAATTGGTACCAGGAAAATTTTCTCTGAAGTTCCAGAAATTGCACATTGCATCATCTCTCAAAGCCAGAAAAAATTCCCTGTCCCTGGAAGTTTCCTTTTTTTTCTAAAATTTTCTCTCAGAATTTCCAGAAAATGTGTATGATTTTCAATTCTTAAACCCAGAAAAAAATCCCCCATTCCTGTAATTTCCGGGTACAGTTCTGGGAAAGTTTTCTCAGAATTTTCCAGAAAATGTGCTTCTTAGAAGATCATTCCCAAACCAGGAATTTTCCAGAAAATTCCGACTTTAGGAACGATTTTCCGAGGAAATTTCAGTTCCTGCTATCAGGAAGTTCTAATTGAGAGAGATTCCGGCTAATGGTGATATTACTGTATTGGTTCGGTTTATTTTACTGTACATGCTACAGGCATACTCTTATAGTGCTCTAGATACTTTCCTGGATAACTGATTTTTAAAAAAAAAAATGCTGTTTTAGAGGTTAATGTAACAGATTTCCAATATAGATACTTTAATGGCTGCTATTTCTTGCCCTCAAGCAATGTATGAGGGCTTCATTGGGCATCAGTAATAATGGTATTGTACACATGATAAATATATTAGAGCATTTAATAAATAAACAGAATACTTTTTAAATGGTGAAGGAAATAATTCAGTAAGTTATATACCTGGTACAGGTACACCACCGATTATCCGGGAACTGATGGTCCGGCACCTCCTTTAGCCCGGACAAAATTATGAGAGGGCACTTAACTTCCCTCCCTCCCTCCCAGCCATGGTGAAGGTAGTTTTAGGCTTAAAGTTTTTATCTTATAAATTGTGACTGACTAGACTTAGCAGAATATGAATTACATTGGTGGAATCCTTGTAAGATGGTGATTATTTTGAGTATAAACATCACATAGTTTGCACAAGAGATAAAAATTTTAGTCTAGTGTACAGTACTGTAGTACATTTGAGTACAAAGTGTGTTCAGTAATGTTGCTAAAAAAATTTTCACATTTAATTTACATTTAATATTTGTTTAATTTATGTTTCTAGCAGTCCATGGTGCTTTAGAAACACAGGAGGTGTATAATTAATGGGTCAGAGGTGTATTATTGAATTATTATTCCAGCAAAACGGATAATCCGGCAAAGCTTTGGAACCAAGGGTGCCGGAAAATCGGTGGTGGACCTGTACTCATCAGTGTGTTTGGTCAGAGCTTGTTTAAAGCTGACTAACATCTGCTTTCACTCCTAAGCCCTTAACTTGTTGATACTATTTAGTTTGGTTGGTTCAATTAGTTGACATTTTCAAACCTAGGCAACAACCAGTACTGTACCAACCTCTTGCTCACCCACATCCATGTCTTATGATGAGGGATGGTGTCTGTCCATGCGAGATGTGTAGTTTAAACTCTTGGAAACTTTACCCAGTTCCCAGAAAAATTCTGGGAATGTGGGGGTTTTTTCTGGGATTTGAAAGATTTGTTTCGTGACTCAGAAGAGCTCTGATCCAGCTATTCCGGCAAATTGGTGAAATTACTACTAAGTACAGGTGCTCCTCTACTTATGAACGAGTAACGTTCCTGAGGCTTGTTTGTAAGTCCAACTTTACTCTTGGAGATACCAAACATATTGTAAAAAATTAAAAGTGTTATGGATATTTAGTACAGTTATACCCTTTAATACAGCCTTAAAACCTGGCTCACTCTTCTCCTCTTAGGTAATGGTTGTTCTATCTGGAATTTTTTTTCAAAATAATCCAGTCTCATCCACATTAAACACCTGTTCTGGCAGGTAACCCCCCTCAGTAATGATGTTTGTATCTCTGAAAGTTTCTAAGTTGAACGTTCTTAAGTAGAGGAGCACCTGTACCTTCAAATGTACAGTGAGTGACAAAACTCTTTTCCCAGTTTGTCTGATGATTTTTAAACCTGGCAAAGCATACCCTATCATAGTTCAGAGCATACCAAAGCAGTTAATGTGGTAAATGATAATGATATATTTCACAGCAGATTACTACATTTCTCAGTGTAATTATGCACCTGGAAACTCAGGATCGATCCTCTCCAGGCCCGTAAACTGTTCAAAAGTTCCCAGAGAGTGTGTTGGAAGACTTGGGTATTCAGTGATACATTCAACCAATACTGGGCTGATAGTTTTGTTACTGTTCTACAACCTTTATGCAATTAGTTTTTTCATGACACCCTTAAATTTTTCTGACTATTGAGGCACAGTACCTTCAAAACATTGTTTATTTTTCTGTATAACTATTATTTTTTACTTTGCCAGTAACAATCACAGTAAATCAGTAGTTACTTTATCATATGAGGCGCACCGCATTAGAAGGGGCGAAGCGAAACCCCGGCCAAAATGCGTTTTTTGGTGGATATCACTGTTTTTACCCTTCCTCTACATGTTGGCGTTGGATGTAACCCTCTAGGTAGAATAGAAATATGGTAAAAAGTCCTTCAAAAATAAGGTGTGATTTCGCCTCAGGCTGGGAGCTACGTATCTGGCTGTGCACTCAGTCAAAGAAAGTTGGAACATCCTGTTCAGAGCGAGAGGAGCGCTCGTCAATGACAGCGCGCCTCCCTCGGACCATACCCACCGAGGCAGCCAATCACAATAGATTTCCCCTTGCTACATCACAGTTCCTCGGCCAATCCGTGTCCCCAGTTGCTGCCTCCTTGTTAGTTATGGCATGTTGTATAGCATAAGGAGGTTCAGTGTACTTTCTACTGCTATTTTTGATAACTTTTCGGCGTAACTTTGACATTATTCGTGTTCCACGGGTGTGAGAAGTGCTGTGCAATATCTGCCCGATATTAGAGCAAGACTCGAGTGAGGCCAGGCCTTCTAGTGTGGGTTCAGTAGCCTATTGTTCCTGAGCGTGTGATTAGTGACGACAGTGCTCACGTGGACACCCCAGGAATGCTTGGTGATAGTGATTTTGGTATACTACTCATAATACAAAAAGTGACTGCTATGCATCACAAGACCGTTTTGCAGACTGTGCTTTGGTACAGAGTTATGTGCCATGCACTGACGGCAATAATGATGATGAAAGTGAAGATGAAAATGATGAATGTGAGTAATGGTAACACAAACAGTGACACTAATGTATCCGAACATACAGACTGTGAGGAGGTAGAAGTGGATAGTAATGAGACATGTATTGACCTTGATAGTGATGAACTTGAGCCTGACCCAACGAATGCTAGTGAAAGTGATCCCATAACTCAGTCTTATAATGAAACTGAACTGTTACCGGTAGCAATAATCAATGATTTAGTTGATGAAGAGCCTGTGTGGCGATTTTTAGTGAGTGCAGAGAAAGACTTTGATCAGTATGTGATTGATTGTGACGAGGCCATTAAAGTTATACGCATTTCTCAGGATTTATGTAACTTCAAGTTGCTACGATCTTCATGGATAATAAAACGAAGGAACTAAAGAAAGCAAGATTGTAATACTATTATCATAATACTGATTTTACCAAAGATTATGCAAACTTTCTCCGCCTTTGTATTTGTATGTTAATTACGTTGGGGGGGAGAGGAGAGGTTAATGGTGACGGGTATGAGTGTACAGTAAAGCCTCGAATAACAACTGTAATGTGTCCTCTAATATTTTAGTGGAAGGTGAATCATTAATTACAGTTAAAATAAAGCAACAATAATGAGATGTGTTCCCAAGTGTGACCTGTTCATATCTTTTGTGTGTTTTTTTACCCACTTTTTCCCAAAAACAATAAAATAAATGAAAAATGCAAACTACATTCTTTAAATAATGTTTATGAATGCACCATATACAATATAAATGAACAATAATATGGTCACACAAGAGGAGATGGAATGCCATTGTTGTTGTCAGTGTTTACAGCCGGGCCGGGACGATGGTTCTCCATAAGTAAATGAAGAAAATGAGACCTTGGTTGTAGCTGTAGTAAAATTAATGTAAAAAAACGAATATATATGTTTTAAGTAATGTTATTTAATGTTAATAAATGGAACAAAAGATGTAGCTAACCACTAATGGCAAAGAAAAAAGTGAGATGGATTGGGAATGCCAACATATACGTGCGCATTTAAGGAAACAGCTCATTTATCTTATTAAAAGAATATGTACAAAAGATTCATTATTGTTTATTACTGAATATGTATTTGATTGAATTAATTTTTTTAAATGAAAAATGAACAATACAATTTATTAATAATACGTAGAATATTAAAACACACAAGAGGATAAGAGGCGGCATTGTTGTCAGTGTTTACACCCATAATGTCAGTTATCGACCTGAAACTGAAGAAAATTAGACCCTGGTTGTTGTTGTAGTAAAATGAATGTATGTTTTAATTTATGTACAGTAGAAGTAACCACTGATATTAAAGAAAAAAAATGTGAGACTGATTGTGGAATGCCAATGTATATGTGTGTACTCAAGGAAATCGCTTCATTTATCTTAAGAATGTGTACAAAATTTTTTTTATTGTTTATTACTGCATATGTATTTCATTTATTTAATGTTTATACAGTATATGTGAAATGAGCAATACAATTCATTAATAATACGTAGAATATTAAAACACACAAGAGGAGACAAGACAGCATTGTTTTCGTAGTGACCCTGGTTGTAGCTGTAATGAACTTAATGTAAAAAAAAATTAATACCTGTATGTATGTTTTAAGTAATCTTAATAAATGGAACAATAGAAGTACAGTAGCTAACCACTAATGGTAAAGAAATAAAGCGAGACTATTGGGAACGCCAACGTATGTACAGTAAGTGCGTACATGTGAAAACATCATAATTTTTCTTCATATAAGAATATGAAAGCAACACTTATTTACTGTTCATAAATGTTTTACTTTACCATCAATAGTGGTAAAGTCTAAA